TTGAAGTAATTGTAAGAACGAAACTATGTCATGCGACAGACGGAGGCTTAGCATGTTTCTATTTTAGATCATGGGAGATCGCATCAGAAACAGCATCAACCAGAATGTTTCGCTAAAGCCAAATGGTAATTGGCCAAGAGGAATCCAACATCATTTTCGAATCTCTCCTCGAAATGGATCTAAGCTCAACAGTTTTCAACTAAATGACTATTCAAAAGCCAACTTTTATTCAATCATTTAACTCATTTTCGGCAACATTAGCAGAAGTGGATCATCAACAAATAGGTCAAGAAATACAGTCATCTGAAAAATGTAATTATCGAAAATAATTTGTGAGAATATATTGGAAAGCAGAAAGAATATAGTTTCTCATTCGTGCATGCAGAAACATGCTTAATATCACTCCTTGTAAAACGCCAAAACTAGAACATCTGCCGAAGATAGGTAATTAACATTTATTCAAAATAGCCCCTTAATAAGTAGATAAAATCGGCATACACAGTCCATCTATGTAATACTATAGTTTGCCTCAGCACATCGTAAATGTCCTACAGCCCCTTAGATGGCATTTCCACGCTCCAATGCGTTCGATGCCAAAAGTTTATAAACAATAAGTAAACAAGTCAACTTAAAGTGACCACACTTATAGCTAGTGGTAGGTTGCGAATCAAACCTATCCGACTGTATCCCTACTCCAAGCCACGGTTTCTGTTAAATGAATGTGAGCAAAACTAGCATAAGAGAAACTAATATGACGATGGCTCCTGATAATTCGATAGACCGAGTAAACCTTCATCCAGTTATCACTATTTATCTTTATCCTTGACTAAAAAGGACTTGGAAATAAGCTTATGATGACTATACAAGAACGAACCAAATGATGTATAGTACTAGAAAGTTCTTCCGAAATGGTTGCAACCCCTAGTTGTCCCAGGAAAGACAAGTCAGAAGACATCTTTTCAGAGTCATCTCAGTTCCGTTTCTGTATTGTAATCCGAAATCAAAACAGCGAAGGGATGAAACGGAGATTTCAACTATCTGAGAAAAGCATCAGTAGGAGTGATGCATTTTAAAGTTCTGTCGACTTCATTATAAATTGTTAAATAGGATCTGAATAAGTTACTTCTTCTATTTGAATTACAGCTTTGGAAAGCGAAATTGTCTTCAGTATGCATGGATGGAAATGATGATGATGATGATAATAAATTCGACAGCAGTTAAGAATTAAATAATTGTTTTCATATCCACACCAAAAAAATATGTTAAGATTCTCAACAAACAAAGCCGTGGAATCGCAATTTGAATCTGGGATATCGGTACTGTTTAAGTTTTCCTCATAGCTTTATTAATAAACCATATCCCCATTCCTCCACTATATTATTCTCTTTCTTTGAGATATCGAAGATGTGAGAAAATTGCATTAAATTCGATCTATAATGAAAACTGACAAAAAGCCACCGCACCCTGGACCTCGTACCCTCTACTATTTTCATACTTCGTTTTCATATCTGAGATAATAGCATATATAAATTACGGATGGGTTGAAAAAATTCGCTTGACGGGATAAAGATCAGGTAGATAATAGGAAAAAATCAGTAATATAAGGCGGAGAACGAACCTTATATGTAGAATCAGCAGAGGTTGTCTCATGAAGAGGCTTCGTCTGGACTCCAAGAGCCCAATCAACGGCAAGCCCATCGAACCGAGACAGTGAGGCTTTAAACAGATTTCTCTCACAATCAGCCTCAACAAGTTCAGTCTGGCCAAGGTGATTGGAATATGGTTCGTCTGTACTCGATTCTGACAGACCAACCAATATCACAATCAGGGGACTCGGCGAAGCCCAGATAATAGGGTCTCGGTCATGAGAAGCATTGTCCTGATTTCCGTCGACAGAAGCACAAGCAACTACATTTTTGGTTGAGGCAGAAGAAGAGACAACAGGGGTTGGAATGGTCGCTTGGGTGTCGGGCTTGGAATCTGATGACTGCGAAGGAGATCCGTTCATCAAGAATCCGTGTAACCGGTTCCAGGTGTCCACTGACACCAAGTCGGCTGAATCCAATATCAATGAGAGCAGCCCGCGTGAATAGCCTTGAACCTGAGAGGTTGCCAAATAAGAGACGGAATAAGTGATCTTGAAAAATTAAATAAGAACAAGTAACATTATATAGCGGCACATGCCTGAGATTAGCGGTGTCGGATAAGGATAGAGCAATGGGGCTGATAACGGCAGTAATATTTCCCCACAAGTTAAGCCAAAATAAACTAAAATCGGACCTATATAAAATGACTGGCTTTAGAAGAATCCCTTTCAGTTGGCTTCATCTGAATCCGAGAGGAACATCAAAATGAAATTTTAACTAAGTTTGACAAATTTTTCGATTAGCTAATTGTCTCCTAGTAACCAGAAATTTGATTAATTCAATATGTACAAGTTTATGATGATGCAATGAGAAATGATTGATTGCATCCACAGGAAATTGAAGAAAATACCTGATTCTACATTTAAATTCGCAGTGCAATGCGTTGTAAAATGCAGTTAGCATTTAGAATGAACTACAGCCTCGACCGCGCCCGGGAAGAATACGTTTAGGAAGCAAAGCTGTGTGCTATTCAATGGAAACGTGAGGCTTACTCATATGATTGTGGGAAAAATTCAACTATCAGTCCTTAATCAGCTCATACGATTTAGGGTGACTGGAACCCTTAGTCAAGATTAACTGATAGTTTCAAAAGCCTACTTTTCCTGAATATAAACACGATGCGATTGGTGACTCTCAAAAGGTAAATGGGTTAGCATTTTCGCAAAATAATATGACTTTCAAAAATTTAAAGAAATAAATTATGAAAAATGATGGATTTATACAGATTACGGTGGAATAAAAAAAATAAAAATAATTGGGCTGCTAAGATTAAAGTGGAATTCCAAAGTAAAATCAAGCATGAAGATGGGAGGTTAAAACAAGGAATGTTACAGCCAACTTGCATGTCTGCATGAGTCGAAGAAACCATTATTTATAATTTCATAGAGTAAATCGTATGAGATCAAGAAGTCGATGCTTCGGTCCTCAGCTGACAGAGAGAGACCAGCAATGCGGTCAGGATTAATCCGATGCTAAACAAATTAGAAGATAAGCTTGTGGTTAGACAAGGATTTGTAAAAAATTATCATTTTCCTCCATTGACATTTTAAGAACAATCGTAGGAATCTCGATAAATGACAAGTTATTTCGGGCTATCGTATCTGTATACCCTGATTCAAACCTCCCACCTGAATTTGGAAAGACTAGATAACTTGCATTGCTGGATCTCCATTAATATGGCAAACAAAACTTTGCTCAGCAATGTTTATGCGGTATCTTCGCTTGTTAAGTATAGAGAGCCAACAAAAGGACCGAAATTGCAAACCCTTCCAAATAAATTACTCTTTTTTTGAGAAGTGGCAAAATAAAAATTCATCATGAGAGTAATAAGAATTGCCGAAAGCACAAGAAGCACAAGAATGCTGGTGGTTCCTCACCTTTATACGGTATGATGATTATGCAACTAGAGAAGTAGGAACACTTACTTTGGTCAAAGCA